TCTTACTAATAATTAGCTAAAGAATCTATGTAAAGAAATATAAATAAAACTCGAATTTATTAGAAATAGAATAATAAACTATATAAATAAGAAAAGAATTAAGGGATTAATCTTCTCGGAGGGAGATATAATTTATCTCGCGATAAAAAATATTAAAATAAAATAATAAAATAAAAAACTTAACTATAAATATATTAGACCCTATAAGATTAAATAAAAAATCTCGAAATATAACTATAAACTATACTTATTACCTAAGGTTAAGCTCTATCTAATCTTTTATATTTTATTACTTAAATTAATATAAGATATTATGTAAGTAAAAATAAATAATAAGCCTAATATAGAAATCAATAGATTAAAAAAATATATTATAAAAGCTATCCTCGATATAAATAAAATTAATAAAAAGATAATATATTTTATTAAATAGAAAGATTACCTAGACTTAGAAAATATATAAGAACCCCTAGAATACCTTACTAATATATAATGCCTTCTAAGGGACTTTTATTAATAACGCCGGAATTAAGTAAGGGATTAAAGTTAAAACTACCTAGGCTAAGAGAGTCTTAATCTATACCCTTAGGATTAAGGGATTATAATTCCTCGGAAACCTTAGCCTTATAATAATTTAACTCCTCTATTAGATAATCCTTACCCTTAAGACCCTATATTCCCTATTAAAACTCTACTACCTAATACTCCTTTACCTTATTTTTAGTTTTATATAACCTTAATAGGTAACCTATGGCTAAGGCTATTTTCGCCTAAAGAGTAGCTAGCTCCTCGTAAAGCTTTAATAAGTCTTTACTTACCTTCTCTTTATCTTTCTTTAATTTCTTCTCTTAGGAAATAAGCTTATATACTACTTAGAGTTAGTAAACCTCGCATAAAACCTACTAGGAAATAGAAAAGGATATAGGAAGTAGCGATGTATATCTTATCATAAGAAGAATTATAATAAATATACTCGCTATAACGCGAAGAACCCTTAGATATTAAATATACCTTTTAGTATTTAAAGTAGTAAGAATAAGGTATATCGGCAAATTTATGCGATAATTTAATACTTTTAGTAAGAAGGGTATACTCTTTGACTTTTCGATTAATATGCTTAGAAATATAACTATATATAATATTAGTAAGATATACCGAAATAATTATAGAAATAGGTTAAACTAACTAATAAGAAATTCTTAGGTGGCTTACTTAAGTAGCCTTAAGGATAAGACCCTCAGAGGGGAGATATTATATTATAACCTAATATATACCTATTATATATATTAGCCCTACCTAGAAGTTCTTACTAATTAGCATTAGATTATACCTTTATTAGATTATTATGATCCTAGATCGTAGTAATCCTAGATTATAGCGATCCTAGAGTATTATAATCCCCTTAGGATTACCTAGGTATATAAATATGCTTATTAATATTTTCTTATATAATAGCTACCTTAGCTATTAATATAACTTAATTATACTTAATACCCTTAAATATATTATTAGACGTAACTTATACCCTATTTAAGATAACATAATATTCTCCTCTGCTGATATAAACCTAGTACGACCGGTTTATCCCTTGGGAATACACATAATCATTATATAATTACCTCTGGTCTAAGTCTTTAATACCTAAGCTATTTAATTAGCCTTCTTATCTTAATATCATAGGGTTTTCTTTTCTATAGCTTATAAATTTATATATACCTCCTCTAGACTTAGTTAAATTTCTTAAGAAAGGGCTAATACTAATTTATATTAGATTTAGCTTTATTATTATAGATAATCTATAAGCCCTTACTTAATTTATTTTCTAGGCTATTAATATTACTAGTATTCGTGCTATTATATTAAAAGGCTAGGGCGGTATTAGCGGGGGAGATAATGTCCCTAATAGTATATATCTAATTAGAAATTGCCTATATAACTAGCTATTTTAGTGCGTTTCTGCGGTTATATACTATAGCGGTATAGGTATAATAATAGCTAGTATCGCTATTAGCTAACTAATAGTAATTATTTCTTTCTTTAGTAATTAATCTTTCTAGGGCTAAATAATAGTAAGGGCTAGTGCTGGCCTAATATCTATATTATTTAAGGAGTTAATAATAGAGATTCTAGTAGAGAATATTACCTTTGCTTTATAACTAGAAGTTTATAAGGTAGCATAAGAGATAGCAGAATATATTACAAAGGAGGATAAGACGGGTTAAGCCGCTATAGGTATTATTAATCGCTTAGAAGTAAATAAGCTACGCTATAATATCTGCCCTAAGAGACTAATAACTTAGCTTCATAGGAAAACGGGAGCCTATCTTAGCGGCTTTGTAACCTCTTATCTTATTAACAAAGGGTTGATTTAATTACTAGACCTTAAGTTACTTCGTTATAAGTATTAGTATATCGATAAAGGCGCCGAGGAGCCTATTATCAGTGTCATAGCTATAGCCTCGGGCTTTATCGCGGCAGTAGGTACCGTAATATCTAACTACTCCTAACTATAACGAGAGGATATTTCCCAAGGGATAAACCGGTCGTGCTGGGTTTATATTAGCAGATAGACTAGTCGCGCTATACTTAAACAAGGGGGTTATCACGTCTAGTAATATACTCAAAGGTATTAAGTATAACTAAGTTATATTAATAGCTAAGGTAGCTACTATATAAGAAAGTATAATAAGCGTATTCTATATACTTATAGTTAATCTTTAGACCGATGTTCTCTGGGTTCGGTCTAGGGTAGGACCGATATTTTCAACGTTCGGTCCCTTCGGTCCTTGCTTAGTCAGAGTGTTTCTGCTATATTTCCCCGCCTGGCTCATGTCATGGCCGTGACACTAACGGTTGAAAAATCTAGCTCCACTAAGGCTATTAAAGAGATGTCTGAGTTCAAAAAGAGACAAGCACTTTACTCCTATCGAAGAATATCGAGCTTACAATAGCATCTTAAGACCCGTTATTAGACCGGCTGCCCTAATACCGATAGACATAGAGAACATCGCGATGAAGATAGCTACTAAGTCGCTTCGCAACGCTAACCCAGCTATAGCGGCCTCTAAAATAGTACCCTCTATCCGCAATAGGCATAAGGCCTCGTGGCGAGCTCACGAAGAGGGCAAAAACGGCTATACTTACTATGTTATTTATGCCACCGGAAGATACGCGTGCGACCTAGCTAAGGCTAGCGCTAAAGCTCCCATGGCACTCTTCTATAACGTCGCCAATAGGTTTCATAACGCCCCATCATATAGGTTTATTAGCGTAGAGGTGCGATAGCGCGATAAGATCACGGGGCTCGGAAGTAGGCTTAAGATAGCTAGGAAGGAGTTTATATTAGGGATTTAAGACGCCTTTAATAGGCTTATTATAAAACCTTATAATGATACCAAGCAACGAGGCGCAAAGGGCCTAGGTAAGGGTATATTATACGGTAGTCTAGGATTTATTAGTAATTTAGGCTTAGGTAAGTACTTATAATTATTTCCCTATCTTCGGTAATAATTATTACGATCTCGCAAGTAGGCACTAGAATAGACGAGCCGCTAATATAGCAAAGCAATCTTTGGGCTACTAGGTTATATACTTAAGGGCATCGAGAAAGAACTAGCGAAGTATTACCTTATAAAGCTAAAAGCAGAGGTTCTATTAATTCGGCTAAGATAAGGTATTAATAACTAGCGGGAGGCTCCTATGGAGGAGAGGAAAGAGGTTATGCGGAGGTGGAATGCATTGGTATCTAAATAACTATCCCTTCGAATATGCAAAGGCTCCTAAATATACCTAGCCCTATACCACCTCTATCACATAACTAATACATAAGAGTAACGTCGCTTTGCATTATTAAACATTACTACTATATCCTTATAACGGTCGAGGTTCCTAACATAGTAAACTATAACCGAATTAGTTTATATTAGCAGTTATAATAAGGCGTGATATATTAAGCATAGGGTAGTAAATTACGTATAATAATATTAAGAAATATTCTTAAGTAATTAAATTATATTAAAAGCTAGAGAGCTATCTAGATATAAGAAAGTAGAAATAAGCGAGGCTATATATACTTATTCTAATTTGCTTAGTTAATCATAGTCGAATGTGCTCTTATTTAACCTATTTGACCCTTTAAGGTTAAGGTTTTACTTTTAGTCGAATGTGGTCGAACTCGTTCCTATTTGACCAGTTCGACCATACACCACTTCCACCGGGGTCTGCTTATTCCGCTCCAAGCTCCGGCGTTTTCCGTTCGTACCCTGATTGATCTTCCTGGGTCGTAACAAAGTAGTCGTGATAAACAAATTTCTCGATAGACGTGCAAATGCTCATGCTAGTCCAGCCAGATTTTTAAGGGCAGGTAAAATAGAATGCCCCTTGAGGAGGGACGTCGTTATTTAACGATGAGATCCATTCTTCACCGTGGAATATCTTAGCAAACCCTTCATTTCTCCCTTTCCCCGCCTTTACGATCCTTGATTACTACTTCCTCAGTGAGACAATCAGGGTAAGCCACGGGACGACATCACAGTTGAAACAATCGTCCTTTCGCGAGACTCGACAAGCGCTCGCTTTAGCCCTGTTGCAAGCCACATGGATTGACCGCCACTTTATCTTGTTCTCAATACCCGAGATTCGTATCCCGTATCTAATAAAACCTCGGGCTTTTGAAGCCAAGCTTTGAAAATTGAAATCGACGACTTCAAGCTTCGTTCCTCAAGGCTGTTTTGCGCAAACCGCGACTGGTTTGCCTCCCCTGTTTGGGAACGGGCCCCGTTCCAAATCGCAAGGCCGATGTAGACTCCTTAGAGCTGTGATTGGTCTAAAACCTGGAACGGGCCCCGTTCCCGACTTAAATACTTGAGTAGAGTCCATCGTGAACTTGTGGTTAGGGATACGCTTTATATCAATCAATACGGATCCAAATTCGCCTCCGCAGTCCTCTATTCTAAGTTTGGAACTATCACTAGTCTCTTGCCACTAACTTTCCCCTACTTGAGAAGGTCCCATGCCGCCTGCACCTGTGATAGACCGCCAGCAACTCGAACGGGAAGGAGCTTTAGCTTTCTAGATTGCAGTGCATTCTCCAGGTACTGCCACCACAGCCACTTGGTAAATTCCTGGTTCTTGGGGTCCAAGTAGTCATCTATGAACTGTGAAAAATGCCCACTTACTCCTGGCGGAAGCGTTACGCCTTGTCTCAAGCCCATGGTTGATAAGAACGAGCCACCCCCTTGAGCGGCCAAAATCCACGCAATCACTACCTGGTCACGCGCTGAGTCAGCAGCTGCAAGAACTGCCTTGAAAGGTCCCAGCGCAACCAGTTCTTGCGAGACTTCTGGCGATTTTCGGTCGACGAAGTGTGTGGCGCCAAACGATTGGACCAGTTCTGCATTCTGTGCGGATGCAACTCCCACGACGGTATAGCCAGCTTCCGCAGCCAATTGCGTTGCATACGCTCCAAAAGACGATGAGGCGCCCCAGATGAGGATTTTCTCGGCCTTGTTGCCAGACTTGGGCTCCTCCGATGGCTTTTCAAGTTGAAGATGGAGGAACAGGGCGCTGGCAGCACCATAGAGATTGGAGACCGAGGCCGAGGCCTCGAAAGGTTGATCTCCGATCTGAAGCCCACATGTATAAGTACGGTTGTCGGAAGTATGCTTTTAGCTGGACGAGAGTTGCTTACCTTGGCTGTTAGCTCTTGCGTGGTCAGGGCGTACCTTTGATAAGCCCCAAATCTTGAGTCATTCCGGATTGTTCCAGCGCTGTTTGTGACAACGCGGTCGCCGATTTTGAATCTGGTTACAGTGGAACCAACTTTGACGACTATACCTGAAAATGATACTGAAAGTTGTCAGGCTTGAGCATGTGCTTGATAGCCACGTTCGACGAGAATTGTCACTTACGTCCAATGATTGTAGGGTATTTCAGCGGAAACGGGAGGAGGCCTTCCTGGATCTTGTACTCTGCTGGCTGGACAGCAACAGCCTTCACCTGCAGCATGAACAGAGTCAGTCTCCAATCGTGCACAACGGACGCTAGGTAATAGAGCTCCAATAGAGGCGAACTTGGACCAAGTTGATTCATTGGGTAGATATGCCAAATGCTTCATTGGGCAGATTTGGCATCACTTCACCTACCTCAACCAACAGTTCGCCTTTGTCTGGGACAGGGGTTTCTGCGGGACGAACTTCTAACGGCTTCCCAACGCCTGGAAGCCAGGCTGCAGTGTTTTGGGTTGAAGCCATTTGGACCTGGGCGGAGGAAATCCAAGAGAAAAAAGTGATCCAGTTAGCCTTAACGAGCCACTGGGGAGATGAAACACTCTGATAAAGGTCCATGTCGAACGACTGGCCCTGTGAAACCCCGCACTCAGGCTTCCTCAGCTGTCCCTGTGCATCTGCATGACGTGGCACCTTCCCCAACCTCGCCGCCGTCTCCACCATGGCAGACCCCCCTCGCTAGTCGGATCTGCAATCTGTCATCGTTCTTACTCAAGTATTTACGTCGGGAACGGGGCCCGTTCCTGGTTTTAAGCCAATCACGAAGCTAGGATTTCTACATGGGCACCGCGACTTGGAACGGGCCCGGTTCCCAAACTGGTGATGTCAGCAATGCAAACGTACGAAGAGTACAAAATCAGGGATATTACACGTCCGCAAACTTGCAAGAATAAAATGTGATAAAGTGGTAAAAAGAGCCTGATATTCATATATACAATCCTTTTATTGTCCTTACACTTTATATGTTCACTTTTAGTAGTCTTTCTAATGTTACCTTGGGGTTTAGAGTGAGCAGTGGATGTACCATCGGGTGCCCAAATATCCAAAGCAGGGTGCCCATGTATCAGTCGCCCAGTAGTGGGGGCAGCCTTATGTAATATCTCTCGCCCTCTGGTATTCCCTAATCTGCCGGCACAGTTAGCATATACTATTTTGGTTAGCACCGTCAGACTCGACGAGCGGAGCTTGGAAAATCCGGGCCCACCACCAAATGTATAAATGACCACCAGACGCAAACTCCGCACCCGCCCGCCCGCCCGCAAAACAACCAACCCGCCTGCAAAAGCCATCCGGCCAAATGCCTCAGCATCATGGAAAGTGAAAGGCGCACGCTAGCAGTCCGTGCTTGCGTAGCATGTCGCAAGCAGAAACGAAAATGCACCAGAGAGGTTCCCGAATGTTCTCTTTGCTCCAAAAATGGACGGCCTTGCGAATACGCTGTCGGCAGCCGTGCGGCGCCTTATCCTGAGGGGCGCTCGCGTGTCGCTCCTCGAATCCAGAACCCGACTGTAATGCCTTTACAGATCGTCGACTCCGCAGCAGAGGCGCCTAGCTCCAATGAATCCACTGCCCCGGGGCTCTTGCCAGGCGAAAACCACTTTCCGGCTCTGTTTTTTCTCGATTCTAGTTATTTTCAGCAAACAAAATCCCAACTGCAGATGCCAACGCTTGAACTCCCTCCCGAGTTTGACTCTATTGATGCCCAATCAAACATGCATGATGTTGACGTCTATTTCAACTCTATCCATACTTTCTTGCCGATAGGTCAGTCCATCTTGCAACATCTGTTGTGTTGTTCATGGCAGCAACATGTGCGCTTACTTTAAGATAGTCTCGAAATTGCGACTGTATCGAGAGCTCACTGCTCCACAGAGTTGCCGAAAACCCGACACAGCGCTCCTTTTGATCACCATGCAACTGCATACCCGGTCTCTCGACAGTTCAGACCCACCGAATCGTGAGCTCTATGGGCTCGCCAAAGCCTGCTGTTCTCATGTCGAGAGGAGCAATATTCTCTCCGTTCGGCTGTTACAAGCCACACTTCTCATCACTTTATATGAGATAGCGAATGCGATATACCCAGCAGCCTATCTCAGCGTAGGCCATTGCGCAAGATTGGGCCACGCTATAGGTATCCACGATTTCAAGAGAGCACCACAGATGCTTCACACACCAAGTAGGCATTTGCCCTTGCATTTGATTTTCTGCCTCATTTCTAATGTCAAGAAGCATCAGCCACTGAGTTGGAAGAAAGGCACCGAGTTTGGTGGGCTGTGATTGTACTAGACAGGTATGTTTGTAGAGCCTGCTTGCAGTCGCTTGCTGAATAAACAGATACGTCAATGTCGGCGGCAAAAATCGTCCATTCTCATGCGACGATGTCCGACCAGATGAGCTACTTCCCGCGGATGAAAAACACTGGGATCAAGGGGTATGGTCTAAGCCTAAACAAAAGGAAGAAAAAAAAAAAAAACTAATTCGACGTAGGAACTCGCCCTTATCCAGCCACTTGCAGTATCAACTAGCACAACAGTGAAAATTTGTCCCTTTGGTAGAACTTGCCAAGCTTCTCATTTGCTGTCTCGTGTCCTGCGGCATATAAGCGACAGAGACTCTAATATTGAGTTTAGATGTAGCGAAGCTCTGCAACTTCGTCGCACAGTGCAGGCGCTGGCTGCCACAATTACCAACGAATCCGAGGAACTCCTAGAGCATATGAACGATGCCACGGCTGACCTGCCCCTTTTTACTGCAACGGCACTGTGCCATAGTGCGTTGCTTCACCTTTACGATACGTATTGCTGCACTGAAAATAGCGAGGCTAACCAAATGGGATGTGAAAATTTGCTGGAGATGCAAAGACTAGCTATATCAGGCTTGAAGGAAATACCTAATGCTGTGTTTCTATTTTCAAAACGCCTTCAGGCCGTTACAGAATTGGGAGGGATGTTGAGAATGAGTCCTTTGGTCTGCGATTGTCTTTATCAGGCTGCCGCAACCTATTTATGGTACACCTTGGAAACAGGTGGCCAAGATTACCTACCTATGGCCAATACTATCAAGGATGTGCTCGGTATTCTGGGTACAAGATGGAATTCCGCTAGTAAGTTCGGTTGGTACTAATCCTCTCTGGTCGTTGGCTTGCTAAATACACAATAGGGGAATATATCGCGATTCTTGACGGTTATGACTACTCGGGAAATAACTAGGCGGGTACATGCCATTATTGCCTTTTCTAGACTGCTCCCCCCACTGAACCTAGAGAGAAAGTCTCAATATAGCTTTGTATACTTTCTCTGTTTCAGTCGTTGATCCACTCCCCTTTCTTCATCTCGCGGTAGTCCATTGCCACAATCGGCCCGCGAGCTCACCGTAAAACGCGTGACTGCTTGCATTCCCCTTCTTCGCGACAGGCTCAAAATACTGGCCATTCTCGTTTTTGATTGAACGCGGTAGACACAATCGCGCATAGCGTGTTAAAAAGAGCCTTCTTCAGCCGTCTTTTATACTCACAAACACTTGAGAACGGAGTATACGATGTAAGACACCCCTGGCTGCTTGACGAGGTCTGTATTCATAAAGCCTGGATGCACTGCAGCTATCCAGATAGCCTTCGACTTATTAGCAGAACCCTATGGATCAAAGAGCTTATTAAGATCCCATAACGGCTCCAAACTCCACCGCTACCTTAATCTATATCGTCGACATCCATCTCAGACTTCGCGCGGCTTTGTGTCCATTGCTGGTGATGTTGACTATTCTGGTATTTCCATGCTGAGCCTTACTGCGATATTGACCAACCCGTTTAGTTTGTTCTCCCGGCTTTTAAACTCGCTCGTCGGCCGCCTTCACTACAGAGGACAGGTCTATCCATCTTTAGGAAATGAACGCCGGCCTCGGGAGACTCGGTCTTGATTTTGGAGATGGCAGCACAAGCCTTGCCTGGTGATATCCCAAAGAGACTGTTGATCTTAGCGCCACCACTTTAGTAGTTCGTGAATCGTGGCAGTGACCATCCGCTCCTTGTCCGCCCGCGGCGTCCGCCCGCATCCGCCCGTGTCCGCATGCGCCGCCCGCCCCCGCGCGCTTGTCAGCATGCGTCGGACCTTTCGACGGCACCAAGGCTTGCCACTTTCGGGGTAGTGCAAATCGGTGGATTTGACGCACTTGAGGTGAAGGCAATCTTCATCAATTTCTGGGTTACGATACGACACCACAGCCTGCTTGATTACATCACGGTGATGCAGGACGATACGGAGTTACCAGTGCCCGTCCTTAACTCCGAAACTGCAGTCTTTGTCCCTCTTTTGCCGTTGTCGAGGAGGTCAATCTTGTTGTATATATAGCGCCGTTGTTTACCATACAACTGGATGACTCAACCCACCTCCTATTCTCTACTGTTCTTTTCCGAATTCTCGACACACTACCATCTTCTATCAAAATGGCTACAGCCTATGCCGCCGTTCACGCCCACCCTTCCGGCCCGGGTGACGCCCGTCCCACTGCGCTGCAGATCGTTCAAGACGAAGGTCTTGAACAGAAGCTTACTGAAAAAGTCATCTTGATTACTGGCTGCTCCTCTGGCATAGGCATTGAAACGGCTCGTGCTCTCTCGAAGACGGGTGCGACACTCTACGTTACCGCTCGCAATGAAGAGAAAGCGAAAGCGGCATTGGGAGACTTGCTTGAAATGAAGAATGTACACCTCTTAAAACTCGACCTGAACTCTTTGGCAGGCGTTCGGGCTTTCGTTCAAGAGTTCCTGTCCAAGTCAGAGAAATTGAACATTCTTATCAACAACGCTGGCGTCATGGCAACGCCAGAGGGCCAAACAGAGGACGGCTTCGAGACTCAGTTCGCAACCAACCACTTGGCACCATTCCTACTGTTCCAACTGCTGAAGCCTGCGCTACTGCGTGCCTCTGAGCCCAACTTCGCCTCTCGCGTTGTCATGGTCTCTTCCAGCGCACATCGCTTCAGCGAAGTTGAATTTGACAACATCAACCTGGAAGGGATTTATGACCCATGGAAGGCCTATGGCCAGAGCAAAACTGCTACGATCTGGGCATCAAATGAGATTGAGCGACGATATGGATCAAGGAACCTTCACGCCTTCAGCGTCCATCCTGGAGGAATTTCAACTGGGCTGCAAAAGCACGTTTCGCAAGAGATGGTGGATCAATGGACAAGCCATGAGACAATGGGACTGAACTGGAAGAATACCGAACAGGGTGCTGCGACAACTGTCTGGGCTGCCATGTCCAAGGCACTGGAAGGAACGGGAGGGAAGTACGTCGAAGACTGCCAGATTGCTGGGCCCTGGGATCCTGAAACGGGGGAGATGGGATCTGGCTACGCACCGTGGGTGTACAATGAGGACAAGGCCGTCAAACTTTGGGAAATGTCTGTCGAACTAGTGGGACTTCAGAAGGGCGAGTAGATTGACAAGGCAGGTTGGGAGGAATCTGGATGCATCTAGTAGGCAATTGCGACTTAGGTCTTCACGGCTACCACTGATTATTATGGCTAAGTATGGTTTTTATATATACTTTACTCGTCTAAAAAACATAAAAAAGAAGTTTTATTATTCTTAGATCGATATTACTATCGCGGTATATTATAGCATATCGCGATATAGTGATAATCGATTGAGCGTTATATTTCCTATTATAGAATAATATAATTCATAGGTTAAGCGTTATATTTCCTAATATAGCTAGCGCTCTAGGGTTAGCGAAGTTTAGCTAACTTAACCTCTATTATTAGGTGCGGGCTTTTAATAATTAACCCCTCGCACTATAGTTACTTTTAGTTTCTATACCTAGCAATTTCGATTACTTAATATATTAACTTTCTACTTATTATAATAATAATAGAACTAAATTAGGAGGCTTTTTAATATAAGTAATTATAAAGATCTGATTTATAAGCGCTAAAAAACAGGATAGTACTATAATACGCTAGCGTCTCTTATAAGCGAATTATATATAAAACTACTGAAATCGCTAGAAAATAAGAAAAGATATTACTATAGTAAGCTAGTAAGTCGAGCTACTATCTAATGCAATTATACTAGTAGCAGAGAATAGGCTATTAAAACTAGAGAATAATTTATTACCTAATACTTATAATAAGAGGATAATTCCTAAGAGATAAACCGATTATATTAGTTTATATTAGCACTAGATTATATTATATAGCCTTAAAGAGTAATATAATATTATATCTAGTAATATATTTAAAGGTATTAAGTATAACTGAGTTATATTAATAGCTAAGGTAGCTAATATATAAAAAATACTAATAAGTATATCCTATATACTTAGGCGGTAATACTTAATTATAGTATTTATTATATTAATTAGGGTAATTATATAAGTAATTATAATAATTAGAGAGGTAATTATTATAATTACTCTTAGTATATAGGTAATTAAGCCTTAATTAGTTATAACTTATAGGGTTCCCTTAGGATATATAATATATACTTTATTAGGTTATAATATAATATCTCCCCTTTATTAGTCTTATCCCTAAGGCCTTTAAAGTTAATTACTTATATTTCTTATAGTTTATAAGAACCCTCCTTTATAAATATTTTAATAATACTAATAATATATTAAAAGTAAAATCTTAGTCTACTACGCGCTATTATTACTTATTTAAACTTATCGAGGAGATAGGTTTTAAAGTTATACCTTATTATTATTATGCTTAGAAATACCTAAGGTATAAAATACTTAAGGGTATTTCTTATTACTCTAAGTATATCTATTAAGGCTATACTTATAATAGCTCGGGAGTATTAATTTCCGCGGGTTTATATAATCTTTCTTATTAAGGCTTTCCTTCCTATTAATTTTTTAATAATATCCCGCCTAGTAACTAAAAAGTATTATTTAGAGCTTAAAGAGGAAAAAGTAAAAGAAGAATTAATTACTTTATAGTAATAAATAAATAAAAGGCTATCCTATTTAATATATCTTTATCGCTAAAAAAAAAGATCTATAAGTAAGGTATAAAAATAATATATTAAGGTCTAAACTCCTATTATCTATAAAAAACATCGGCTAAGCTACTGATATTCTTTTTATATAAGGGAAACTTTTTATATTAGTAGACTATAAGGTAGCTAATATTTCTTTTTTTAATTAGCTAATATTTTTTAAAAAAGAGGGTTCTTATAAGACTAAGGCTCTATAAAAGAGATATATATAATTTTAAGCTATAAAGATCTTAAAAATAAAATCTTTTTCTTTATATTTTATTTCTTTATTTTTCTAGAATTATTTAAAGATAAAAAAGAGAAATTTTAATAAGGTAATTAATATAATTAGCGCTATATGAAAACTCCCTAATTACTGCTATAACCTAGGTACCTAGCTATATTAATTACCTCACTAGCTATAGCTAAGGTAATTCCTTAGCTAATAAGCTTTAACCTCTATTTTTCTTTTTTTATTTATTTTTCTATAAAGACTTTAATTTTTCTTAATTATTTACTTTTAACCTTTATCTTTACTTATATTTTAGCTACCTATAAGCCTTATTATTATAAATTATTTTATTTATATCATTATTTTTCCTCTTTTAATTTATAAAACCTATAAAATTATAATTCTTTTTAATTAAATTTAATAATACCTCTACTAATAGCCTTATTAGTTTTCCCTTTAAGAGATTAAGCCTACCTTAGAGTAGGTTATTAAGCTTAATCTTCTTTAGGGCTAAAAAGACCTTATAGGGCTACCTAAGCTTATTTCTCTAGGCCCTCTTATCTTATAATTTAGAGAGCCTATATAATAAGGCTTTTACTATACCTTTAAGCCTAGTTACTTCTATATTAGCTCTAAGCTATAATAAATTAAAGAATACCTATAGGTTTTTTATAAGGTATAATAAAAGGATTAAAGGGTTAGGGTTAGGATAGGGTTAGTATTTACTATCTAAGCTATTTTGCCCTAGGGGTTTCTTCTAGCTAAGATATAGCTTATAGATAAAAGAGGGGAGATTTTTCTAAGAAATAATAAAAGAAAAAGCATAAGAGATATAACTAGGAAAGAGGTATAGCTAAGAAAGAGATATAGCTAGGGGAGAGATATAGCTAGGGGAGAGATATAGCTAGGAAAGAGATATAACTAAGAAAGAAATAAGAGATAAGAAATAAGAAATAAAAGGTAAGAAAGGCTAATAGCCTTAAGCCCTAGAA